GAAAATTGTATGTGCAGGTCCACGTTTTCCTATATCCCCCAAATAATGGTACCTCCCGATATTCGGAACTTTTATAATTTTAGCGACATTATTCCACGGAAATGTTTCAAATTTGGAATTTAAAGTTTGTAATGGATACTACAGCCTATGACAGAAAATTGTCTCGCAGGTCCACGTCTTCGTATAGCAGCCATATAACGCTACCTCCCGATTTTAGCGACATTATTAACCGGAATTGTTTAAGATTTGGTATTTGAATTTCGTAATGGATACTACAGCCTAAGACTGAAAATTATCTGTGCAGGTCCACGCCTTCGTATAGCCCCCATACAGCAGTATCCTTGATATTCTGCATTTTGATGATTTTAGTGACATTATACACCGGAATTGTTTAAAATTTGGTATTTGAAGTTCGTAATGGATACTACAGCCTAAGTCAGAAAATCGTCTATGCAGGATCACGTCTTCGTATAGTCCCCATATAACGGTACCTCCCGATATTCGGTATTTTAATGGTTTTTGTGTCATTATTCACCGGAATTGTTTCTAATTTAGCATTTGAAGTTCGTAATGGATACTACAGCCTAAGGCAGAAAATTGTCTGTGCAGGTCCACGCTTGCCTATATCTCCCATATATCGGTATTTTGATGATTTTAGCGACATTATACACCGGAATTGTTTCAAATTATGTATTTGAAGTTCGTAATGGATACTACAGCCTAAGGCAGAAAACTGTCTGTGCAGGTCCTCGTTGTGGTATAGCCGCCATATATAGCCACCAGATTTTAGCTACATTATTCACCGATTTTTTTTTTCAAATTCGGCATTTGGATATTGTATTGTCTTATTACAAAATATGTCTATGAAGGTGCACGTCACCGTGTATTTGTTTCGGTTTTTTTAAGATTTGTACGGAATTTTAAATGGATTCAATTTTTGAAATTTCCATATTCGTTCCAAATGGTGGAGGGTATTCAAAGTTCTGCTCGGCCGAAATTACAGCTTTTTTAATTGTAATATTTTATATTCATGTATTATTCAAATATCCCAGCGATCTTCTATGTGATGTTGACCTCTAGTCAGCTTGAGTACTTATTAAGGTCGCTCTCAACCTTAGCTTTGAATAACCCTGTGGTCAGCTTCAGTACTTATTAAGGTTTCATTAATGACCGAAAATAATGATCTGTTAAGAGACTTGTTCAAGCCTTTTTATACCCTACACCACAAGGTGGTCAGGGTATTATGTCTTTGTGCATTTGTTTGTAACAGACAAAAGGAAACGAGATAGACCCATAGCTCCTTTGATGATCTGAATAGAATCACATTCTGAGTCGATGTCCGTCCGTCTGTTCATGTATTTTTGTAAACAAAGTACAGTTCGCATTTATTGCCCTATCCAGATGAAATTTTGTACAAATCATTTGTTTGGCCCAAGGACGAACCCTTTAGAAATTGGAGACAATCGGTCTAAATTTAGATATAGCTCCCATATATATCTTCGTCCGATTTGCCTTTTATTGTGTACCAAACGTGTAATATCAGTCCGAACAGTATGAAATTTTGCACGTACGATCAGATTGGACCTGAAAATAACTATGCCGAATTTGATCGAAATCGGTTCAGATATAGCTATAGCTCCCATATATATTGTTCATCCGATTTGTTATTTTTGTCCACCGCCGCCGTAATATGCACTCTGCAACAACAACATTTGGGAAAATATATAAAATACAGCTCAGAAATACATTTGCTAAATTTTATCGAGATCGGTTCAGATTTGGATATAGCTCCCATATATAACTTCGTCCGATTTACCTTTGATTGTGCACCAAACGTCTAATATTTGCCCAAATGGGATGAAATTTGGCACATACGATCGAATTGAGTCTAGAAGTTAGTATGTCAAATTTGGTGAAGATCGGTTCAGATATAGCTATAGCTCCCATATATACTGTTCATCCGATTTGTTATATTTGTTACCCACAGCTTTAATATGCACTTTGTAACAACGATATTCAGGGAAATGTATCAAATACAGCTCAGAAATATCTTTGCCAAATTTTATCGACATCGGTTTAGATTTGGAAATAGCTCCCATATATATCTTTATCTGATTTCAAATTAATTGTGCACCAAATGGGCAATACAAGTCCGAATTTAAAAGATACAAATGCTTCGGCATATTTAGCCCTTTTGAACTTTAAATTATAATTATAATCATAGCGTGTATGATTAAATTCTCCCATAAAAACTTTTAATTGTTATGCGCAGCTCTAATAAATTAACAAAGTGGTGTAGGGTATCATAAAGTCCCCGACCGACTTTAAGACATTCTTTACTGGTTTACTGATGTCAAGCCTATTTTGGTGTTTGCAAAGAATTCTATAAATCTCCTTTACTGACCGAATTTATGAATTCTTCTGAAATTTATTTTTGATTGAAATCATGGGGATCGAACCCTGATCTAAAAAGCTGAAATTAAAAATGACAAGCTTCTTTCACAGACTCAAATACTGAATTTTCTAAGCAAGCTTTGCTGCATTATCGGAAAAATTTTAAAGATTATTTCAAGCCTCCCTCTTTGATTTAAATTTTGGATTTATTTAAGAAATGTTTAAGCTTTCCTTTAAAGCATTTTAAAGTCTCCTTTAATGATCGAAATCGTGGCTTCTCTGACGAATTGTTTAAGAATTTTCTATGTGGTCTCTGTCAAATCTCTCAAATTGGGTATTATTAAGAATTTATTCAAACCACCAATTTGTGGATATCCGAATCAAATATTCCAGACTACTCATCGGACATAAAAAGTGGAATTTTTAGGAAATTTTGACCCAAATCGACGATTTTCTAAAAAAAACGAAAGTAAAACGTCAACAAAGTCAAAAGTCATAATTTTTACATTTTTTTTCAAATTTATTGAATGAAAACAAAATAATGTCGGAAATAGCATCAAATTTTAGAATAAGTTTAGATTTGTTCGAATTGGTCACCTTTGGCACGAATTATGGCCTTCAAAAGGCCAATGAAACCGTCACACGCTGTCCGAATGCTGCTCTGCGGTATTTTGGCCCATTCCCGGCGAATCGCTTGCTTGAGGTGAGCGACACTTTGGTATTTTTTAGTGCCAACCTTACTTTCCAAAATACTCCCGACACAATAGTCCAACGGATTGGTATCCGGAGATTTTGGTGGTCATTGCGCGCTGGAAATGAAGCGAGGAACCTTGTTTTTGTAATCATTCTTGAGAGGCGCGTCCTGAGTGCAATGGGGCTGAGTCCTGCTGGAATGTCCAAGGTCTGCGGTCCAAATGTTGGCGTGCCCAAGGCTTTAACACACCCTCCAGAATATTTTCGCGATAATATTCGGCATTTATTGTGATGTCACGGTCGATTAATACGAATACGAGCGGAGAGCGACCATCGGCTGTTATGGCGGCGCACACCATCACCATGGCCGGCGCTTGAGTTCTGTTGGCCAACCGAAGTTGCACATTTTCAGCTGACCTCTGTGGCAAGTAAACACGATAATTTTGTTTGTTTACAACGAAAATTCTCACCAAATTGCTTTTGTACGCTTTTAATCAATATAATGAGCTGTCACTGGAATAATTTTAACAGCTGTCGGACGAGTGGTTTAGAAATGACAGCAGTCTGAAGGTGGTTGCAGTTTTTTCATCTCACCCTGTAGAAGTCCCAAAAAACATTGATCTTCTTAAGAATTTTCAATAACCAGATCTTGGATTTTCTAAAAAAGTGTAAAGCCCTAAATCGGAGATTTTTCTAAAAAATTTGTTTGAAATGTTTTTTTTCGAGAATTGATTTCAAGGGAAATCAAGTTTCCAAATCGTGTTTTTCTTCAGAATATTTCTTGTCTACAAACTGTTTGAAGAATTTCCAAGCCACCAAACCTTGAATTAATTTCCAAAATATTTTTTTAAGGTCGCAAATCATGGAATTTTCTTTTTTACTTTTTAAGTCCCAAATCGTAGATTTTGCTGATAAATTGTTAAGTCTCCAAATCATAGATTTTCCAAATATGTTGCAGATATTTTAAATAATTTTGGAAATCCTATAATAATTCATTTTTTAAAGAAATTTTTAGATTTAATTGATTTTCTAATCTCTAAAATAGCGGTTTTCTCAAGTCCCAAAGTCGCGGACTTGGAGTTGATTTTCAAGCCCTCAAATCGTAGACTTTGTAAAATGACGAAGATTTCTTCAAGTGTATTTGTCAACAAACACATAACAGTTTTTTAATGTTGTTGCTAATCTTATTATTGTTGTTGTTGCTGCTGACTATGATGATGACAATGGTTATGATGATGCCTTTGCTAATAATAATAATGAAATAACTATAAAAAAAAAACAGTTTCAACTTTAAACTACAGCTATGTCAACGTAAATCTAACAGATTGGACTAAAGGGTTTACACACACACACATGCAGTCATATGATGAGGTGTGGGGGTAATATGTCGTAAAATGTTCGAAATGGCACAAAAAAAAAAAACGACCAAAGTTATTAAATCTATAAAACATGCTTCCAAGCAATTTATTTAAGTCGTATTAAGTTGTCCTTTGAAGTACTTTTCGTACGTAGGAAGAGTTGTTTTGATGCCAAAAAATGTACGATAAACTCTTTTAGGCTTTCTAAAAGGCTTATTAAGGCTTTGCTTTTGATTTATTTGGAAATCAAGTTTTAGGTTCTAAACAACAAATATGTGATATCATAAATTTTCCATATCCAAGAAAAGGGGTGGGGGGGATGGGTTGAAATCATCAAAATGTATCCACTTCGCAATGAGATTGTTATTCTCTCTCTCTCTCTCTCTCTCTCTCTCTTTGGTTTAGCTAATGTTTGCCTCTTTTATATATACATTCCAAGGAAAACTTTGCTATGGAAACTTCCCCAGAAACCCATTTTTCTGCCTTGAGAGGCATTTTATTTCTTTCCCTTTTTTAGGTAATGATGCACCGCCTTCCCTAAAAATAGTAAAAAATCTTTTTTTTTTGTAAAAAATAATATATATTTTCATAAATATTTACAATAGAATAAAAATAAAATAAATGATGAAAAATAAAATAAAATATAAATTAAGAATGAAGTTTTTTGTTTTGCAATGAATGCAATATGTTTTTTTGGGCGCCTTTAACAATTGGGCGCCATTTGTAGTGAAACATGAACGTAAATGCATTGTGTTTTGTTCGATGCGTTTTGTTTGTGTTTGTGTGTGTAGAAAATGGACTAGACTTAAATTAGTGATGATGGTGATGATGGATTTAATAACCACTCAAGGCAGACCAGCCAGATGAGCTACCACCTCCGGATTGCCAGCCACCGGCTGAGGGACCTGATGGATAGGGATAGGCTGAACTGGAACCATGGGAACTACCGCCGGCAGAGGCAGCAGCGATGGCTGCAATTTTGGCATCGTCATGGCCGGAGCCGCTGCCACCGCCATAACCACCTCCAAAGCCGCTACCACCATAACCGCCTGAACCACTGTGGGAGCTACCGCCAGCAGTAGCAGCAGCAATGGCAGCAATCTTGGCATCATCATGACCAGAGGAACCACCGCCATAACCGCCACCACCATAACCACCGGCACCAGAACCATGGGAACTACCGCCAGCAGTGGCAGCAGCAATTGCAGCAATCTTGGCATCATCATGACCACCTCCGTGGCCACCTCCATAGCCACCGCCATAACCGCCTCCATAACCACCGGAACTGCCATGGGACGAGGAAGAGGAAGAAGCAGCAGCAATAGCAGCTATTTTGGCATCATCGTGGGAAGAACCGCCATAACCACCACCTCCAGAGCTGTAACCACCAGAGCTATAACCACCGGAGCTGTAGCCGCCATGTCCACCGGAGCCAGAACCAGCTGCTGCTGCAATGGCAGCAATGCTAGCTACGCCATGAGAACTGCCATGGGATGAACCGCCATAACCACCGCCGCTGCTGTGACCACCATAACCGCCACTGCTGTGACCGCCATAACCACCGCTGCCATGTCCTCCAGCACTTTCTTGAATAACAGCATAGGTATTGACTTGGGCGCCACCATGACCGCCTGCGCTGCCGCCGCCATAACCGCCACCATGACCATGACCTCCAGCTGAACCGTGATTCTCAGCAATAACAAGGGTTTCTTGGGCGCCACCATGACCGCCGCCATAACCACCGCCATGACCACCGCCATAACCGCCACCATGACCATGTCCGCCAGCTGAACCACCATGACCACTCTCAGCAATGACAACAGTTTCATGTCCATGTCCAGAAGATCCACCGTGACCACCGCCGTAACCACCGCCGCCATAACCGCCACCGCCATGACCATGACCGCCAGCAGCACCGTGACTTTCAGCAATAACAAGGGTTTCTTGGGCGCCACCATGACCGCCGCCATAACCACCGCCATGACCACCGCCAAAACCGCCGCCATGACCATGACCGCCAGCGGATCCACCATCAGCAATGATAACAGTTTCATGTCCTCCTGAGGATCCACCATGGCCGCCACCGAAACCGCCACCATGGCCGCCGCCGAAACCGCCACCGCCATGACCATGACCGCCAGCAGAACCACCATCAGCAATGATAACAGTTTCATGACCACCGTGGCCGCCTCCATGGCCACCACCGAAACCACCACCATGACCGCCGCCATAGCCGCCACCATGACCGCCGCCGCCACCTCCATGGCCACCAGCATCAGCCACAATTACAGTGTGGACATCACCACCGCCATGGCCTCCGGCACTATAGCCACCGCCAAAACCGCCGCCGTGACCACCGCCAAAGCCGCCTCCATGGCCGCCACCGCCGCCGCCATGACCGCCCGCATCAGCCACAATTACCGTATGGACATCACCACCGCCTCCATGGCCGCCACCGTGACCGCCGCCATGACCATGAGCATCACTGATGTAACCACCGCCCAATAATCCTCCAGTCAGGGGTCCAATTACATCACCATGTCCGCCACCGCCGCCAAATCCACCGCCACCATGATGTTCAATATGGCCACCGCCGCCACCACCATGATCCCCGCCAGACTCGGGTAAGTGGATGCGTATGTGGACATGTTCTTTACCGAAGGTGGGTTTGCCATAGGTCAAGCCACTGGCCACCAACAAAACGCTTAACTAAAGGAGAGAAAAGAAGTCCAGAGATAAGTTAAAAATTCCAAACATTCTTCAAATCCTTTGGATACTCACAATAAACCACTTTGCCATTTCGTTTTTCTTTATCTGGCCAAATGAAAATTTACAACAGCAACTTTAAGCAACCAAGGTCTTGGTTACCGTGGACCAATTTCGAAAATAAAGGTTAACCGTTGTTTTGAACACCTTTCACCCGCAGCTGTTTGCTAGCTCTCGAGTACGTCCCTGCTACGGTGTCAAAACACAAATGATGCGTTTGCTGTCATAGTGCAGCACATTTATACCGAGCATACTCTTTGCTCTGTAGGGGTGTTATGTAAGTTTTCCCCCAAAAAGACACACAAACACACACACACACAGATGGAGACATACAGCGCGAAAACCCCCCATAAACCAAGCCAAGCTAAGCCAAAGTATTGCTGCATTCAGCATAAGCAAGCAATGCCGACAGCATCATCCAAACCCGAATTTTTACAAATCAAAACAAACAAACCACTAGCTAGCCAGTCAGCCAGCCAGCCGATCGAACAAACGAACGACCTACCTTAACATTATTCCCAGACGAGCCAGCATTTCATCGATGCTGTTATTTTTTTGGCTTAGCTTCGCTGCTAACCCCCTGTTACACGAATCCAAGCAAGCACCGGCTTCATTGCCATGGTTCAACAGCAACAACTCCCAAACTCCAGAGCAAAACAAAATAGCCAAAACATTGAAGAAGAAAAAAAAAACAACAACTCAGGAAACAAATGTAACACGAAGCTTTGGCAACAGCTGCTGATGATGATCATCATTATTGTTGTGGGTCTCTCTCTCATCAGAGACATAGAGAGAGAGAGAGAGAGAGAGAGTCTTTCTTTTGAAACACACACAGAAATATTGCAACAACACTGTGGTTCAAAATTTGAATAAATTTCAAATTGATTTTGAAATTTTGTTTAAATCTGAACCAAAGTAATATTCCAGTTTTGATATTCAAATTCAAAATAAATGCTTTTATCAGTTTATTACAAAATAACAATGAAATGTTGGAATCTCTTGCATCAAAACACGATCTTTAGTTATAAAATTATTTTGCATGCCTTTTTCAATGACCAGAGAAATATGTAATGTAACATCTTCTGGAGGCCAAAAAATATTTCGTTTGGATTATTGATTTTAAAGTTGTAACGCACAGTTTGATGTGAATATCTGTAAGAGTCAAACATATTAAAAGCTATTGGAGACGTGGCAAACAAATACGATATTAACTTCGGTTTGATCTTTACTTTTATTCCACATCGTGAGGAAAATTGAAATTATATTCCAATCGAGTGAATGCGGAAAAATAGTGAGTTTGGGGCCTGTTTTAAAGGATGTGTTCTCAAACATAGTTTTACACAGGCCTGAAGCTACGATGTATTGTTATTTTTCCACAAAGTCCTACAAAGGACATAACCAAAACGGTCAACAAGCCTCTCTTCCAACATTCTTTACGAGCTGCCTTTTTTTTTGGTGGTAACTGGATTAAAAACCTTCTCCGAACTCAGTCTATCTTTAAACAATTAAAAAAGCAGTAAGTTCGGCCTGGCCCTCCACCATTTGGTACAAATTTGGCAACTTTCAAAAAATAAAAATAAATAAAATAAAATCCGTTAAAAAATGTTGTTAAAATCTTAAAAATACCGAAAGTAGCCGTATATTAGGGTCTATACGACGACGTGTACCAGCATAGGCAACTTTTGTCATAAGCTATTACAATATTCAAATGCGAAACTTAAAAAAAAACTGTTTATAATGTAGCTAAAATCACCAAAATATTGAATATAGGGAGGTACCATGAGGGTTATAAAACGTGGACCTGCACAGACAATTTTCTGCCATAGGCTGTAGTATCCATTACGAACTTCAAATGCGAAATTTGGAACATTTCCGGTAAATGATGTCGCTAAAATCATCCAAATACAGAATACCGTGATGTACTGTTATATGGGGGCTATACGAAGACGTGGACCTACATGACCGATTTTCTGTCTTAGGCTGCAGTATCCATTACGAACTTCAAATACCAATCTTGAAACAATTCCGATAAATGTCCAACTTCAACTTACTTAATATCGTTCGGAAGCTAGTATGATTTCCACAGTCGGACAAACGGACCGACGTTGCTAAATCGACATAGAATTTTATGCTGATCAAGAATATATATACTTTGTGGGGTCTAGAATGTATATTTCGAGGTGTTACAAACGGAATGACAAACTTAATTTACCCTCCATACTATGGTGGAGGGTATAAAAATATTATGATGTGCAATGTTTGAACTAAATCGAAGACTAAGAGTTATGGTGCATACCAGGGCACAGCTAGACCAATATCAAGCCCTACAATCTCGCCTTCGCTCCTAAATACGCTGCTTTTCTTTTCGACAAACTTTTGAAGGATGACTTGGGACAAAGCGGATTTAGGAGACATGTTTACTAAGCGCGTCGATAAGGCACATTTTTTTTACCGCGTCAAAAATGTACCTCACAGTCATATGACTGTTGGTATTTTTTTATACCGTCCATCATACAATACTATGGAGAGTATATTACGTTCGTCATTCCGTTTATAACTCATCGAAATAATAATTTTAGACATAACAAAGTATATACAGGGTGAGATAAAAAAAAAACTGCAACAAAGTCAAACGCCATAAATATTACATTTTTTAGTTTTATTTAATGAAAGCAAAAAATGTCGGAAATAGCATCAAGTTTTAAAATATGTTTAGATTTGCTCGAATTGCTCACCACCAGTTCCATATTCATCGATAGTAGACATCTTGAAACAAAGGACAAAAAATGTTCCAAAATATACCTTTTTACTTTCAAAAATATACTATTATAATTTCTCGGAAATAAACTATTAAAATATATCTCCATTCGCTCATAAGTTAGAGATTTTTGGTTAGAAACTAACATTAGATTTTTTTCGGCAATTTAAACGGTTCGGTTCGTACTTGGCGTGTTAAGTTTTAGACGTGGTTGTAGAAGATTTTCTCACAAAGAGTCCTCCGATCCGAAATCTGAACAATTTTTATTGAAGATTTGTGGATTTGTATATATCGATATTTGATGTCTTTCAGAAAAATTACTTACAGTAATAACAATAAATATTAAATTACCTGCAAAAAGAAAAGGAAATTGAAAACGTTAATTTGGAAATTGCAAATAGGAATATATATTTTTTTTATTTTGGATATACGATTTAGGATGCAACTTTATATCGAATCGTCATACAAAGACTCTTACTTCCAAGATTTTAATGCTTGGTTTGAAGTAATGTCGGAATCGTTCATCTGTCTAACCCTCTTTAATTGGAAAATCCGAAAAAAAAGAATTTTAAATATATCTCTCTAACAATATATCTAGATTTTCTAGCTATAACGCTTAATCAAGCCCCGATTCACTTTCAAAGGCGTATACTATGGACTAATTAGTGGTAGGTAGAATTATATTATTTAGAATTTATATTAGTCAATTTTGTTAATTCATTGTTTGTAGGAGAGAGAAAGAGAGAGAGAGAAACTGACAATTCCTTTTGTGTTTTTATGTTTATAAAAAATATAATTAACCACTAAAGCAGTAAGATCGACGGGCCTGACTTTGGATACCCTCCACCATTTGGAACCAATTGGAAAATTTTCAAAAATAAAATCCGTTAAAAATTGTCTTAGAAAACGTTGACCTGCATAGGCAACTTTTGTCATAAGCAATTACAATATTCAAATAAAAAAAAAAAAACTTGGAAATAAATTCCGGTGAATAATGTAGCTTAAATCATCAAAATACCGAATATAGGGTGGCACCGAATAATGTCCCTAAAATCGGTTGTATGTGGGAAATACAATATCTCTTCCGGGGGGTAAAGTGCTTAGAAAGAACTTCTAGTATTCCATTGAAAAATGTAGATAAAATCATCAAAATACCGAATATAGGGAGGTACCGTCAAAATACCGAATATTGGGAGGTACCGTTGTATGTGAGCTATACGATATCGTGGACTTATATTGTCAATACTATTCCAAGGGTTAAAGCACTCACAAAGAACTCTTATTGTGGATTATCAGACAATTTCATTGAAAATTTCGGCTACAATCGTCAAAATACCGAATATCGGCGGGTACTGTTATATGGGGGCTATATGATATCGTGGACCGATATAGCCGATCTTCGAACTTGAACTGCCTGCAGACAATAGATTGATCTGTTCAAAAATCTCCTATCTTTATTTGTTTTGACTCTAACGTGACTACAACAGACGGACGGTCGGGTAGCTCTAAATCGTCTTCGAATTTTACGCTGATGAAAAATATATATATACTTTGTTATGTCTAAGACTATTATTTCGAAAAGATAATTGCTAACATGTTAAAAAGCAGTAAGTTCGGCAGCGCCGAACTTTGAATACCCTCCACTATGTGGAACGAATTTGGTAATTTTCAAAAAATAAAAATAGCCATTATATTGGGGTCTATTTTTTTTTTTCAAAAAATAAAAATAGCCGTTATATTGGGGTCTATACGACGTGGACCTACACAGGCATTGTTTTTTATAAGCCTTTACCATATTATAAACGGGAATAATGTAGTATCTTCGAAATACCATATATAGGAAGGTACACCGTTACATCGGAGCTATACGAAGACCTGGACCTGCATAGACAATTTTCTGTCCTAGGCTGTAGTATCCATTTCGAACTTCAAATACCAAATTTGAAACAATTCCGGTGAATAATGTCGCAACATGACCCATTTACGAAGTTAACCTGCCTACTGGCAAAATAAACATGTGTGCAAAATTTTAGTCTCCTATCTCAATTCGTTCGAAAGATAGCGTGATTACAACAGACAGACGGACACCGCCAAATCGACTTAGAATTTTATACTGATCAATGATATTTTGTTGGGTCCGAAATGAGTATTTCGAGGAGTTACAAACGGAATGACAAAGTTAATATACCCTCCCTAGAATGGTGGAGGGTATAAAAATAATTGTCTTTTATAAATACAAGAGGCAACTTGAAATGAGAACGAAAAAAATTGCCGCCAGTGAACTCCAGTCTAGTATAAACCAAGGAGGAGTTTTGTTTTCTTATAGCACTTTTTTACCACATTTTACCCCCGACAACAGAATTTATTGCAAACTTAGGGTTTTAGGAATCTAGGGGGGATTTATTGAATTTACAGCATTTAGATGTCTCATTTATTTCATTGGTTCCTATTAGAACCTATTAA